CGGCTCTCGCCCCGATGCCGCACGCCGTCGTTTTTTCCGCAGGTAGTGCGTCCGGGCCGCCGCTCCGGGGCCAGTTCAAACAGGGTGTTGAATTTTCACAACAGACCAGTGAAATCTCACTTTTTAAGCTCAAGGCACGGACACAAGCCAGGAGAGGTCAGGTGTGTCTTTTTTTTTTTTTTCTATGAATAGGTAAAAGAAAAAAACATGTATATTTTTGAACTTGGCAGGAAAGGCAAGACTGGTCCAGCAAAAGAGGAAGAGAAGGAGGAGGAAGAGGCCGAGGGAAGGGTTTTCGTCCATAATGCAAAGAGATTTTGAAAAAGGATTATTGTATATTTTTCTATTAGCAGAGATATTAAGGAGGAGGATTTTGAAGATAATCTTTTGTATATTTTATATATGGGTAGGGGAGGGGCTCAAAGCTAGACAGTCACGGGGCCACGTAAAGCGCTTTTTCTCTTAGCTGTTTAATGCTAAAAACAATCTATTTTCAATGTTACAGAGCCGGTGAGTTAGAGGTGGAGGTGTAACAGAGAATGTATCACGGTCGAATCAGGTATTTCACACAGTGCGAGACAAGGCGAGGTACCTTCCTAACGATTGTTTTCTGTGTTGAAAGGAGCGGAGGGGCTTCAGGAGAGAGAAACAAAAACTGTATAGTTTAAAAACAAAAAAAAGTTTGTGTTCGTTCGGTTTCCTTGTGAGCTTGTTTAAGCACTTGAGTAATCTTCTATTTGATTCCGTGTCTGACTTTGAATATTTGCAGGGCTTTTCATTTCTGAGGGTTCGGAGTGGAGGGGTGGGGGGTGGGGAGGGAGGGAAAAACAGGAAGTAATCAGCCATGAGAACAGCTGGATGTGAGCAGATGTTTGAGGATGGAAGAAAAAAAAGAAAAGGAGAGGGGCAGCATTCGGCTGGCAGGTTCGCTTTTAATTCGCCGAGTGCGTCGCGCTCACATTTACGATCTATTTACTCCTCGATCAGGTCCAGGAAGTGCAAAAACGTCTTTGCTTTTGGGCCGATGTGCCCGGATCGAACAGTGACTCAGACCCCCAGCATGCAGACAAAAACACAGACATGCACAGTCCTCTCCATGGCTCTGACCCTTATCGTCGATGTTGGTGTTGTTATGGACTTCTATGGTGCTGATCCGATCTGATTCTCCACCTGACACTCAAACACTCACGCAAACAGACAGAACTTCTATTTATACATATGCAAACACACACCTCAAACACAGAGTACAACTGCCTATACCCTTTCTTTGTCTCTTATTCCTTTATTAGTTGATTTTTCCTTTCTTTTATTGCATATTGTATTGATGAATCATATATAGATTTACACACAAACACTTGTCTATACCTCTCCTTTAAACTTTACCTAATGAGAAAGAGAAATGCACCCTAATGCTACTGTACCATACAACTGTACTATTGACTATTAAAGTATTCTCTCACTAGATAAATATATATATATAGATATATTTATAGATATAGATATATATCTATATATATACAACTGTGTAAACGATATATGCTTGAATTATGTGATTATAGTTGTAACATACATAATTGATTATATTACAGAAAAACCCGTTGAAATTATTTTGTCAGTTTCTCTCAGGTGTTTTTGTCTGAGGTATTAAATATGCATAATAACAACAATAAAAAGAACTACACACACACACACACATTCGGAAATCTTGTGATCCTATAGCAGAATTTCTGCTATGATTTGTTCGATTTTGTTGGAGGGGAGCTGTATTTACCTCTCCTCTGTTGTTATTTTCCATTTTTAGTCAAATCTGAATGGGACAAAGATTTTTATCCGCAGACCAGTGGACTGTTTGCTGAGCTCCTACCCCCCTCAGTTACTGTTGCTATGCCTCTTTAGATTTGTGTTGTGGTGCCGCACGCACAGGCGCTTCTCGAGTTCAAGAAAGGGCCCTTAATGGTTGCATTTCTCAGATGTTGTGTCATCAGAGGCCACAGAAGGGCTTTTTCCAGCAAATTTTCACGGATGCCTCTCTGCATCCTTGATGTTCTCAAAGCACCTGTTGACCATTTTGAACAGTACATTGTGGAATATGGAGCACAATCTAAGTTTGGGTTTAGTTCACTCTGTTTGAAATTGATCAGGGTCATGATGAGTTTTAATTGTTAAACGCCTAATAGCTGTCATGCCATGTTGGATTGGGCAGCCATCCAGGAGCACCAGCTGTTTGTTGACTGGCTTTAGCATTTCCCCGGCTGTTTTCTCCCATTGGCTGGTGGTCCATGTGAAAATGGAAATTTAGCTGTTTTTAGATGTTTTTCCTGCAACATACCTTTTTGTTAAATTAGCTATATCTCTAGCATGATCCTCCCATCCAAATATGCTCACTTACCATGATAAAACCCATAAAGTCATTAACAGACAGACGCCCAACGAGTGACATCACTTCAGCTTTGTTAAACTTTTGGTTTATTACTCCATGTGCATGGATAGTTTATGGCAGTTTTGCTCCTTAGAATTCAAATATTTACTCTGGGAAATCAGATTATTTGGTTCTTTGGATTATTTTAGACCCTTCACACCTTTTCCAGACTGTTGCAGCCATGCTAATGGATCATCTCCATTAAGAGGACAACATTTCTGTCAGGATTTAATGTCATTTTAACTAAACAAAAAGTTGCAGTTAAGTCTTTTTGGAGCTGTGATCAACTTAACAAAGGTCCACATCTGTTTTGGCCCTCGGAGCATATTTTTTAATCAGAGAAAGCACCTCATGCAGTCAAAAATCCACATCCAAAGCCAATTAAAGGAGCTGAGCTCTGATTGAACAGTCACTGAATTGGGGACGAGTTTAGCAGATAGTTGAATGGAACTGTTCATTTTTTTCTTTTTAAATAAATTTGCCCTTTTTTGTTTCTTGCTACAAAAATACTGTTGCAGGTATTTGGATTTTCCATGTAATTGAACATTTTTCTGTGGTTTCATGCAGCTTGTTTTCCTCAGCGGATGCCGTGAATTGATTCTCACATAAATCTCCATTCACCAACGTTCATCAAATGTTTTTGTTTTCTTTGAGGGGGGAAATTAGTTGAAACCTAAGACGCAAACTTTTGGAATTTAAATCCCTGTAAGATAAGTCTCAGAGATTCTTAAACTTCCACGAGTGCATGGAGGGACAAAGTTTTGTGCTTTCTTATGATGTCTGGGATTTTGGATTTTCTTCACACACCTTTCAAAAACTTTTTGACAGTGATATTTTTATATGTAATTGTGTGGTTTAGCGTATTTCAACTTTTCTGGCGGGTGCTTTTAGCCCTCGTGGTGGCAGTGACAGTTTGCTGCTGTGAAGTAAAACGGCATTGCGGGTTATAATAACAGTAATAATGATAAAATAATGTACACAGCTTTGTTATTTCTTCTTCAACTTTGTGGATTCTCAGCTAACTTCTCCTTGTTGTGACTGTTATGAACTACAAGTCCCGTGAGCGCAGCTCTACCCAGTATTGTGTGCTGTCAACAGGGATGATGGCATAAGTGGTCTTTCCCCTCCCCCCTCCCCCCGTCAAACACCAATAAAAGCTAATCTTTATTCACTGAGAGAGCTTTTCTGGTGTCTTGCTGTGTCATCTCAAACCAACACACTTGTTCAGCTGTCGTAGTTGAAGACAGGTCTGTGGCTCCAAAAACTAAATGGTGCCAAAAAAAACCCCAAAGACAAAAAACAAACAACAAATGTAAAATGTAAATGTAAAGAATATCATAAATTGAAAATGTATGTTTATATGGTTTAAATTGTATATAATAAAAATGTAACAATGCTTCTTCTTGACAAGAAATCTGAAAAAGAGAAGTGGGGGCAAATTCTGCCTCGTGAGCAGGTCTGATGGAGGAGTTGGTGGTTCAATTCCCAAGGACTTTATTTCCGGAGATTCCCAAACGAAACCCCAGTATTTTTTATAGACTTGAACTTGGGGACCGTTGCTTCTTTTCCACTGTTACCCTTCTTTAGGAGGGTCAAGCCAAACAAAGATGGTTATGCATTAAAAAACAGACTTTTCAGTGTTTAAAAAATCAGAGTTAACATTGAAGTGTATAAACTGGGCTAAAAGGTAACCAGTGTGGTCCGATGAGCCTTCAGTATGTAAAAAAGACAAAAGGCTTATACTGCAGTCATATATCTATCTATTTCAGGGCTTTTTCCTTGTATACACCTTTATGCTCTTGTGCTGCCAGACATTTATGGTATTTTTTAATGAAATGTTTGTATAAGGTTATTTACAGTGTCCCAGATGTCAGTGTGAGCCCTACCTGTCAAACACACACAGATTGGCTATGGCAGATTAGTTTAAATCACAAATAAAGGACAAAAAATTACATTTAAATAACCAAAAACTGTCTCCTGGCTCAGAAACATAGTTCAAAATAATAATGTTTTTTAAACTAATTCAAAGTTTTACCCAAAAGTCTTGAGAACATGACCCGCAGAAAAACGTTGAGAATTATGTTACTGAGAGTTAAACGAAGGTTTTATCTTTCTAATATCTTTAGCTGTCTCTGAGGATTACAAAAAACAGTTTAGTCCCACTTTACATGATAAATGTTGGCAGAGGGAGAGTAGGAAATATAGTATTTCTGTGCAGGTTTTATTCCTTGTGTGCCTCAGCGCTCACTATATTGCTTATATTAAGGCTGTTGTGTTTAAATGAAGGGGTATTGTGCCAGAGTCGGTACCAAAATCCAAATGGGTGAATGGCTCAGT